TCCAAATTCAAATTTTCTAAAAAATCACAAAGTTAGTTTTTCGATCTCCAAAATCAGTAAAATAAAAATTTCATTTGATTACACGGAGTAACAACAGAGCACTTCTTTACATGATGACACATCTTCAAGCTCTTCACGACATTTTTTTATTTTTGACTAAATTACATAAAGTCTAAGGAAAGTCCAAAAATCTTTTCTTTTTTTGCGAATTTACTCTCAGACATTATATGATCGTTATATACTTTTTTTTGTGCTAATTCGTGAAACTCATTTATGAATTTAATATAAAATAAAGAAATTTTGTTCATTACGTAGTATATGAAATTGAAATATTTGACTGTTTTAATAATGTAACTTCGATCACTTCGATTTCATTGAAATCTGATGTAAAACTTCAATACATATAGAATATCGCATCAGCTACGAAAACAGAAGGCATCGATCTGTCTCGTGTATCTAATCATATTTTTGATATCATTTGTACGTATCTATCTTCTGATTATATCAATTATGTATACGTTAATATACCAACTGATGGGATATGCTGGAGATATAAGGATATATCTTTCACATTTCTTATAGTAGTAATTAAATCAATTTTTTCAAAAATCATCTTATATATATTTAATGATAATTAACAGGCTTTAAATCAATATTAGAATTGCATAGATAGATTGTACACTATCAATATGATAGATATATATTTAAACAAAGATTCTTTATTATAAATCTATAGAATATCATATTTATTTTTATTCATTTAAATAGTTTATTCAAAATCTAAGTTTTTTGTCATTATAAAATTCGTAATATATCAAGACAAAAATTTACAAAACATCAGACTAATGATTAATATATCATATAATATCTTTTTAATCGATTAAAAGAATTACATGAAATGAAAATCGAATATTATTTTTAATTTCATGTGTAATATAAAACATAACGAATTTTTTGTATATTACAAATCATTTATTGATGAATCATATTATGGTTATGTTTTTTTTTTTTTTACATTTATTTGCGTTGCTAAAATGAAGAGTATCAATATTTTATCAATATAACAACAACGACACGTTCGAATCATAACTCAACAAAAAATAAAAAAATCGTTCTGACTGTATATACCTGACAGCAAGCATATTCATCTATATAAATGTGTAATTTTTTGTATTTAATTAATAATCATTTATCTATGAATGATTACCAAAAAAAAAAAAGAACCCCAAAACATGCCAAGAATGTGTAGAACATCGATAAGAAAAATGAGTATTGACAGTGTAAACATAAACAGTAAATGTATTCAAGCAGAACTGAAGAAAAAAAAAACCTTGCATACGTATTTTTTTCATTATCATTTTCATTTAACATGAAGTTTCAATTTAATTCGATTAGTTTGATATTTACATGTTTATTAGTTTTTATTTATTTTACAATTAATCATCAAGTTAATGGACGAGCATTAAACAGAAATATACATGATGCTACTTTACAAAACATAGAACATCTAATTTTGGCATTAGGAAAAAAACCAAATACATTAACTAACTTCAATGATGAACATTATCTAGATAGTGAAGCAGATGTTGATGATCATAAATACGATGATAACGATGTATCTACTTCATTTGAAGATGATAATCAGGTGCTTAATAATGTAAATACACTTAATAATAGTGACGAAATTGATTTTGGGGAAGAACTTGATTAATATGATTCAAACAAAAGCAAAACGAATGAACAGAAGAAATAAAATATCGAAATTTCAACTAACTTTCATTGCTTTTAAATAATTATTATCATATTAAAACATTTTACTATTTCAAAAAAAATTATTTTATTTTATTTTCACATTTGTTCTTACTAACATATTAAATGAAATAAAATAAAAAATTGAAGAAATATTCTAATTATTTTTCTTTTCTGATAATTAACTAATTTTTGTTTTTCAATTTAAATTAATATTTTCATGCATTTTATCTTAAAGATAATGAAAAATGCATAGGTTCAATCTTACTGTTTTTTTTTGTTTTTACTTTCTCGTTATTAAAAAAAAAACATAGTTAAATATGTTAATAGTAAAATATAAACATAAAATCAAATTGAAGAAGAAGAAAGAAACATTTTCAAAAGATACTTAAATAATAGAACATACTAATGTTAAATTAGATAGAATGATTATCATTCTATGTCTTTGCACATTAATAAACAGAAAAAGAATTTAATTTTTCTATACATATGTAAAATATATTATGAAGACAGTTCGACTTGAATAATACTCATGCTAAAGCTCATATATTCTCTGAATATTTACTACATATATTTTATTCGTATGGCATTTGACACGATATGAAAAAGAGTGAAGACAATAGGAAAGAGAACAATAAAAACTATTAAATGAAATAGTGTATAACAGCCCATATACTTCAAACAGGACTAAAATTGTCGGTAGACTTTTGGATATGATGTACGATATATCCGTGATTCCTTAAAATCGATTCGAACGATGAACATAACAAATTTTATTCTTTTCTTCATATGACAATAATTCACTGAGTACCAATCAGATATCTAATTATAATATTTTGTTGTAATCTTGATTTCTATTGTTTCTATATGAAATAAATAGTATTGTTCGTCTCTTTGACAAAGACAGATGTTAGCAAATATCTCAATATTTATTATTAGAAACAAAACGACTGTCGATAGGCAATCTTTTACTTCTATGTTATTTGTTTTTTCATACACACATTCTTGTTACTAGAACTCTTTTTTTCCTACTTTCACAGCCTTATTTAGCAATGACATTTATTTTCTAATTTCTCGCATATGTAATTCTAGTCTTTCAAATAAAAAAAACAAAACAAAAGATATATTAAATAATTAGATTATTTCCGCTATTTTTTATTATGTAACCTATTTAGCCATTCTCACAATCTAGATATTAGCAACCAGAGCCCGAATCGAACCGACTTTTACGGGTTCGAGTTCGGTTCGGTTCGACTAGTTTTTTAAAAAATTGGTTCGGGTTCGGCTCGGCTCGAATATGTCTTAAAAAAGTGGGTTCGAGTTCGGTTCGGTTCGACTATGTTTAAAAAAAATCGGTTCGAGTTCGGTTCGGTTCGGCTAAATTTTAAAAAAACCGGTTCGAGATCGGTTCGGTTCGACTCGAACCGAACCGAACCATTATAGTTCGGTTCGGTTCCTGATAGGCGTGCCATTTTCCTGTAAGTTTATTTTAAACTAAAACTGTTGCCAATATAAATTTAAATTAAATAAAAATTTTTCTGATACCAAAATTTTAATTTACAATAAATTTAAATTGTTATGTGAAATAAATTTAAAATTATTTTAGATTTAAATTTTTGAGAATTAATTTCTGGAAATAATAATTTTTTGTGAATTAAAATGCAACAGCCCAATCGTCAAAATACATGACTTCAAGAAAAATAGATCAGAAATAAAGAGAGAAACTGCTATTATACGTTAACATCCGATCATCACTATAGTAGATCCCGTAAGAAAACGGCCGTGCTCCGTTCCTATTATTTTCTAACGATAATAAAAAGCTTGTACAGATACCATTGCTAGTAGACCTGAGAGATAAAAGGTTTCTTTTGATTTCTATAGATAACTATACAAAGTGAAACTTAAATTAATTAAAATGTAGCTTAAAATACTTCAAATTTATTTAGATGTAATCTAAATTATTTTGAGTTTATTGAATTTTTTTGAATTTTGTACAAATTCGATTTAAATTCAAAATAAAATGAAATCTTTTACAATTGATTTCTTGACTTGATAAAGGAGGGGGGACGGTTTGCACGTAAAACGGCCCTAAATAAAAATC